GGTTTTTCGGAGTATAGTCTATGTACCAATCATTAATCAATACTCGCAAACGCTTTTACACAACGTTACACATCTTATTTTTAAAATGGTAATTGATACATTTAGAAACGTAAACCTTTTTAGAAGAATTTAAGTATTATATATAAACTCTAGTTTTCCTGTCATTTTTTCTGGATTTGCCACTGTATATAACTGTATGATTATCTAATGAATGGAGATGGCAATAAGAGAATTAATTCGAAGATTTTTAGATCAATATGTCCATTAAACAAACCTCTCCTTAAACTGTTATACCGTCATCTTATACCGTCGTCCTGTTAAATAATGAATCTCTTTATCTGGTATAAGAGCGATAATGAGTATTCTCTTCGTGTTAATATACTAAGAATAGTTTTGGAGAATGACTCCGAGTTCATTGAAAAGAGAACTCTAACTAGCTGATTTGTCAATGAGCTTGTCATATTGTGATTCCAGTTTAAACAGCCTTTTTTTGATAGGACGTTAGCAAAAAATAACTAATAGGATATCGTTCATATAAGCCTATTATAAAGTTTACAATTTAGAATTTATCTTGAAACAATGCAGATTGCGTATGCTGTAAGCAGTAGGGAAAGTTGGTGAGCTGAAGTCTTTATATCATGTCTAGCGGTGAAGTCAGATAACGATCATTAGCAGGTGTTGTAACTCTTGCATGACCTTGAATGATCTATGAGTCAAATCTGTTGACACACTGGAAATGGTTGACATTATCTTCAGTTTGTGAAGACTAAGATGATGTCTTTAAGGNAAATAATTTAAATATCAGTTGTAAAAGGTGGTTAAGGTGTTAAAATTTAAAATATTCAATGATTAACGAATTATATTATACTTTAGTATATTATTTGATAAAGTTATAGAACTTATGATTACTTATTATATTTATTAATTTTACTGCATATTTATTAATTACGATAAAGAACGATTATCGTGACATAATGTTACACGATTCTGAATAACATTACATGTACAAAATACGTAAAGAAATTACTTAGAAATCCAGAATATTTAATCTTCATGACATTTGTCAACAGTTTCAGAAAACGCTTGCATTTAAGAAGCTTCAAAGTAATAAATAATAAATTTAAAATAGAGTTAATAGTAGAGGGTAAAAGATAATATATAGACATATAAAAGGAAATGTGTAAAATTTGGATTGTCGAAAATATATTTCATCAATAAATCAAATTTTTTATCTTTTGTTTTTATTCAAGAGGAGAATAAAATTCTAAAGAATCAGCATAATATAAGTATATATCGAATAGATTTAAAGTATAATACTTGATATTATGTACGTCGATATGGTATTATATTTCTTAAGAATATTCAGGTATTTTACGATAAGAAAAACGGAAGAATTTTCTGTATTTCTTAAAGATAAAATTTACGAATAAATTTCAATGGTTTATGATAATATTCCAAACACATTACAGAAGAAAAAATAATGTAGTATTTGTTAAAGTACACTATGCAATATATATATTTTTTTGTTTGTGTGTGTGTATTTATTTTATCGAGTTACATAGCTTGAATTCGAACATGTGCTGAATATTTTTTAAATATTAAAGTAAATAGACGTCAGTAGCGGTTCCTAGAAAACTGTATGGAAAATGTACTATGGAAGAAATCGCTACACTACCAAAAATAAGCGTTATTATTCAAATATTAATAGTTAAACGTAATAGGTAACCTTTTATGTTTAAGTAAGATCATTTTCCTGGTATTAAATCGTAATAAATATAATTTATTTAATTAGATATTCGAAAATAAATTGTAATAGTTATTACGACGGTCGGATGGCCCTAGGATTAAGGTGGCAGCCTACCACTCTGGAGGATCTAGGATCGATCAGGATGGATCGAAAAACATTAGGAATTTTGGGGATGGTCGGTCCAGATATGTCTAGTCCCGTCACCACCCGGCAGCCCCAGTGTGGATCTGGCCCAATCCATAATGGACTTGATCTAGTGCCCACAAGTCACTAGATCAAGTAAAAAAAAATTAATTATTCAAGAGGAGAATTATACAATTATACAATTTCTTTTCATATCTTTAAAATAGTTTTACTCTATTATTTTGTAGACTTAAAATAGATTCAAGAAAGCTTTGCTAGAATGCTAGCTTGCAGAATGCTTTGTAGAGAGTTGTTTAAATTGTATTTTCTTTACTTTAATGAAAAATATTTATCATATCCACAATAAAAATGTTTGTAAAACTTATTAAATTATTTAAAATAGATTATATAACCAGCTTTGCCTTTTACGTGTTGATCTGGAAATAAAATCGTCCAGATACATAAGAGATTACGTAAAAAGCCTCATGATCCGAACTATTCTTGAAGAATCTGGTGAACCTGGATCGATAGAGAGAGGAGCCAGGGATTTTTATCCGTAGCCCGCAGAAAACTTAGGGGAACCGTAACGGTTTCAACCCCTATAAATTAATGTTATTTTTACTAACAAAATAAAATATTTAAGACAGCCTTTAATTAATAAAAAATTCTACACATTTAGTTTGTTGAAAAAAAAACCTGCTAAAGCGAAGAGGGACCCAGTCTACCCATGACTCCATACGAGCTCTGGGCAGTCTTGCGGATATGAACCTGGATTTCTCGTCTTTATAAGAATTTATTTGTCATATCTTTGATCATTAGTAAAAACAGAATTTAAAAATATAACTGAATAATTCTGTTATTAATCTCACTTTTCACTGAACAATTTGTAACATGTAGACATAGACTCATTAATATTGAACAATATTATATTAAATCAGATATTGATTTAATATATTCGATTTTTAGGAAATATTCGGTTTTCTAGAGAATCAAAAATGTTAATTCTTTTCATGAAATAAATTGTAAAATTACTATTATCTATTTATTAAATATCTTGAAAAATTGCAAAATTTATAATTTAATAATTAATAAGTTATTAATTATTAACTTGTATGAATTGATTGTAGGATTAAATACCCGAATTAAAAACAAAAGTGAATTTGTATCTGATGCTATCTAAATATTTTTCTTCTCTTGTATGATTCTAAGAAAAATTACAATTTATATGTCACAAAAATCACTCATTTATAATATGAATAAATACTGTATATTCTCCATTTTAAAGTTGAATAAATACTTTTTATACCTTAAAATCTTAATGAAATCTTTAAATTCTGACTTATTAAAATTTAAATATTTAAGCTTTAATGATAGCTATGAATATTTAAATTATATTTATATTTAAATACACTTATGTAAAAGAGTATTTATATTTATTATTTATAATATTACTTTTACTTATGTAAAATTAATATTAGATTCTATGTAATATGTTCTGTTCCATGTTATGTTCTATGTATTAGTACTTATGTAAAAGTAAAATAATATTCTAAACCTAAGGTTTTAAATTATGTTATGTTATATTTATGAATTAAATTAATAAATATATATTTATTAATTCATAAATATAAAATTTATATTAGTAAAATTTTAATCATTACTTATTCTTTTATTTCTCTTCCTTTTTTAAAAGAAATATTCAATGATATGAAAGAATTGTTAATACTGTAGCAATATATATCTGTGTAACAGTTGGCTACTTTGTAACTTTTTGTTAAAAAAGAAAAAATAACATTTTGAATTGAGTTGTTTCCAGTTAAACAGTTGAAGAGTTTTTAAAATTTTCACAGTATAAATTAAATAAATGAAATTAATTTATGTAATCGTTTCAGCAATTTTTTAAATGTAAAGTGATTATTAGTAGCATAAATAAAACAGCATTGTTTATAATAATGCTGTTTTATTTAGGCTACTTTCAATTTTGTGGTTTGATCCTCTTTTTTCCAAAACAAAAATGGCTTTTTATGTTCATGTACATCTTAAGATTCACAAAAATTTCTTACTCTGGTTTTAAGGTGCAATTTTTTCCTCTGGATAAATAAGTAAAATCCAAGATCTAAAGTTTCTGAAATCAATGAATAATTTTTCTGTATTTTATTTGTTATTAAATTATTTCCTGATATGTTTGTATGAAGCTTACAAGTTAATAGATTAAATGTAATTTATTTATTTGCTTTAGTGATCATTCAATAACAATTAAGTCATTAAGCAACTGTAATGTTATATTAAATTTATTAATTAATATGTAATAATAATTTATATAAATAATAAATTAAATATAACATTACAATTAGAAATCATTAAGCAATAAAATAATGTTATGTTTGAAATAGGTTCTTAAATAGACAGAGAGAAATTTCAATAGCTGATCTGTATAGAATTACATAATTTTTACTAATGAATTATTTATGCTCTTTTAAAAAAATTTAAAGTGTTTTAAAGATTCTAAATAATTATTATATAATTTAATTAAAATTTTAAAAATATTTTAGACATTACTTTCATGAATTTCATATAGTAACATGGCATTTTTTGGAAGCATATAGCAAAGAAAAACCTTAAAAAATATAAATTTTTATTGTTTATTTTTATATTTTAATAAAGTAATTAATTTATAAATATTTCAAAATACTAAATTTGATTTTTTGTTTAAAATTTTTGGAATAAAAAAATATTTTGTATTTAATTTTATTTGTATCTTAACATTTGTATGCTAAGAAGAATAATCTAAAATATTCAAATATTCTTCTAAATTAACCTGAAATAAAATTCATCGTTTCAAAAATCAAAAGCATTTATTTATAGGAAAAATTAACTCTGTTTGACGCTATATAATCAAATTATCTAAGATTATCATTTCATTAAAAAAATAAACAAAAGGATAGAATAAGTTTGTTGACTTCAAAATGTTTTATTTTGTACTTATTTATAATTTCATTATAAATATTTTATTTATTTTAATGCTATTCATTTATTCATTAACATTTATAGTGTTAGTAATTATTAGAAGAATTTGATTTGAACATTTCTATCACAACACACTTTTGAACTTTGACTCGTACCACAACTCCCCTTGGATAGAATTTCACATTCTACTGTACTGAGTCTATTACTTAGCTGGTTGTTAATTCAGTCACAGTGGGGAAATTTCGTGATTTGCGTTCTTTTAATCGAAAAAATTGCCGACATGGCACTCATCAAAATAAAATGGAACAAGTGGCTTTGTGGATTTTGTCATGCCAGCAATATCTCACACAGGTAAGGTGTTCTAATGCATATGTTGTACTGTACATGCAGACTTTATTAATCTATCCGAAACCACACTCTTTGAGGATTTTTAAACTGGGGTATTACAAGATTGCGAATGACTAATTTCATAATGCTCTTTTTAAATATTAAACCTGTTAGGGCGTCTGCACAATCACTACTTCTAGAGCCTCCCAAACCTGTCGTTTGTTCTTAAGCACACCACCACCCGGTGTTGGGGGAGGGAAACTGTACATTCCAGTCTTTGCCTAACATTGAGAAGAGAAGTTTAGCATCATCTTATACTCATGAAGAGCTTGAAACTTCTGCAACATGATATCGTATTTGCAGGTGAGATGCTTTTGCACTTGTGTTTAATGTCTTCTCAATGAAACAAAAAAGAAAAAAGAAAAGAAAAAAAGGACAAATTACGGAAGTATCTAATTACATCAGATTTACCGTGATTCCTTTCTTTTAATTGGCATTTCTGACAACAGATGATTGTCTACTGGATAGAAAAAGATATTTTTTAATACTAAAAAAGTTTTGTACTTTTATTTGTTTTCAGATTAATTTATATCTGTTTTAATTATTTAATTAACTATTAAAGATAAATAGGCGAGAATTAATTTGTTACCATTTTCTTTCATTAATAAGGTTGATGTTCTTTACAGATTAGATTACTTTCTTCTTTAATTGCCTAATTATTTGCTATTAAAAACGATACTTTAAAAAGCGAACATAATGTTTATATAAAGCATAGGAAAAGGTACTGTACTGTACCGTACAGTACATGTGAAGAAGATAAGTAAATTGCCTAGATGAAGTGATCCATTTTTAAAATTCTCTCTTCGCCTTTTAAAATAAAAATATAAAGACAATAAGCATGATTGATGGATAAAGGAAGTTTTTTGCAACTTACCGATCATATATACTTTACACTCAAAACGAATAGCGTCAGTGTAGTTCATCTTCCTAAGCCCCATCCGTTTGCCTTCTGGCGAGACGCGGTCCCAATAAACTACACCTGAAGCGGAAGTAGATATGCAATTTTTTATGTAACGTATACGTACAACATTATCAGAAATTTAAGTTTATATATATATATATTTTTTTTACTGTTCCCGCGGCCGAATTGTGAAGAGTCCTTGTACAACCACAAAGGCAGAACTAGCGAGATAGACAAGATAAATGGGGCCTTGGAGGACAAGGGAGCTTTAGTGATAGCGACTGATGGATGGTCACTAATGTGGGTCAGATTTTACAGAAGCTGCCAAGAATCGCTGTCATCCGTGAGAAAAGTAACGGATGTAACGTCTAGTTAATTCCGGTCAGTGAAGATTCTATTGGCTATCAACTGAAATAACGTTTTAGTATATTTCTTATAAGAAATTATTCAGAAGTTTCTTCAAAGTCTAAACTACTTTCTTCTGTTAGAAAGCAACTTCTCCAAATTTGCTCTCCCTGATGCTGGAATTAAATAAACGTTGTTGTCAATTTGAATGTTTTATGACCTCTATGTTAAAAAATATATAAATTTTAAATAGTTTTTCTTATAAATATTTTACAATACTTCGTAAATTATAAGAATTATAGGAATAAAACTCAATCGATATTTTCATTAAGTTTAAGTGTCATTTATTAAGATTTTTATCTTTCTTGTAATGTTCGGTTTTTATTTTTCTATGAAAAATAAAAACCGAAAATAGTAGAAAAGCAGGAAATTAAAATTTAATTACAAACAATTTTTAAATTTCTTCTTTTCAAGAAATATTATCTGGAATCTATTTATATAAATTAGAACAAATTATTTTCTCACATTAGTTATAATTTGCAAAGGTACGATAAAATTATATTCAATAATTAATTACACGATGATTATAAAGGTGATGCTAAGTTTTAGGCTATATTATCACTTTTATGATAATTTTTAAAATAATACGCATGAATATAAAAGTAAAACTATTCAGTTTGTAATAAATAATTGTCAGCATTGTAAATTTCAACAAGACTGAAATGTACACATACATATGTACACAGGCATACATACATTTCACTGTATACAGATATATACACTTATGTATACTGGTATTTAAATTTTGTAGTTTAGAAATAGATTCTATAACAATTATACATTAAGAATACATTTCCGTTCGAAATGTATTCTAGATGTAATTATAAAATGAAATAGAATCTCTTAAACCAGTCCTGAGCAACCCGCGGCCCGCGAGATCCTAATATGCAGCCTCAGGAATTTGGTAACGTAATTTTCCAGTTTCTGCCTCGTGCCATTATGTAATCCTAATTAGGCTGATATTCGTGACGAAGAATAAACTATATGTTACTAGTTTGCCTATCATTAATGTATATTATTTTAGTGCCCAGTTTACTGTCAATTAGGAGTATGTTGGTACTCAGCAGACTTAATTATAAAGCTTGCAATTCCGTAAAAGAAATGTATGCGGCCAACCAGAAATCTACGAAGTTCACTTGCGGTCCTCATCTAGAAAAGGTTGCTCATCACTATCATAAATTATATATACCAAAAATATAAATTACTTCCGAATGCCCATTCAAATTGATCATATAAAATTATTCTCGAAATTTTAAATTTATATTTAATATATTTCTGCTAGTGTTTTTAATAAAATTGAAATATTGCTAAACATGAATGGAACGTATGAATTTAATTGACTCAACACAGAATAATGACGTCTTTATCTTTTAAAGCTAATTATCTTGTATCATTTATACAAGATGATAATTATTAGTGCAGTTACTACATGTAGTTATATCCTAATAATTACTGTTATGAATGAATGATTTTAATCATTTTAATTACATTAATATTATAAATATGCTTATATATAATTTAAGAATATTATCAATATGTTTCACAAAAAATGAAATGTTTTAATAAAAAACTAATTATATAAGTTTAAAATAATTTCAGAAAATCATATCTGAAAATATATTTTTTAATAGCATTTTATATTCGGAATTTTGTACATGTTTTGCTATATTTACAACATTATCATTGTGTATTTCATATATTGAGACTTGATATTTATATTTTGTAATATAAACATTATGTTTTTATTTAAAAGAAAAAATTAATGATCAACATTAAGTTTTTTCCTAAACGTTATTATAATTATAATAAATAAACATGGAGAATGTTTAGCATTCGATATGAATACAAAGTATTGTTTTAATTAAAAATTAAAACTTTTATTTATTATTAATAAGAATTTTCATACCGGTATATAATTATGTTTTTGAATTATGACCCATTTCATAAATTAAATCTTCTTTTAGAAATTATTAGTTAAATGCATAAAATATGATTATTTTGAGATAAAATTAAATTGTTATTTAAATATTTTATTTAATAATGCTTATTTTTCTATTAGACTGACCTTTGTCAGAATTATCAAATTCTTATAAAAATTGAAAATATTTTTCCTTATTTTCGCAGAATTGTACAATTGTACTATAATTATTTTATTTAAAAAAAACCACACAAACACACAGATACATATATGAGAATTAAAAGTTGATGAAATAAATTAGCATAATAAACGTTTATTGAACCGAAAAAACGATAATCTGTTTGTTTTTGCATTATTTTTTAAATTTTTTTACTACCTTAATATACTGTACACTTGTTCAGTTTATACGTAAGCTCGATTTAGATTACATCTGTCTTTTATTTAAATTTTTCTTGTAGAGAATAATCTGTGCTTTTCAATCGTTTTTGATTTTGCAAAGTTCTATCCAAGAAACAATTACTGTAATTTTATTCTTGATATTTCAGTAGACATCAATATATATATATATATATTTCATGTATTTAATAATTAATGCAAATTTTTACATATTATTTATAAAATTAATATTTTAATTCTTTTGAATNAATATCTTGAAAAATTGCAAAATTTATAATTTAATAATTAATGCAAATTTTTACATATTATTTATAAAATTAATATTTTAATTCTTTTGAATAAAATATTATTTTGTTAGCATTTACTTGTTCATTGGAAAGAAATACGTGTATAACCTGTTATTTCAAGTTATACCATTATCCCTCTTTTATTTTAGAAATTTGTGATAATTTTTAAACACTTTAAACATTTTTTCTAGATGAAAAATGTATTATAATTGAATATGTGAGTGCTGTTTTTGTTCTATGGAGGACTTATCACACACTATTGATGCAGCCGGAGAAATCACATAAGCCTAGTGTGTGTTAAGTCCTCCATAGAGCCAAAACTTAGCGCTCACATATTCAATTATAGTAGACTAATATAATAAAGACAAAAAGCAAATCTCTAATCTGAATGAAAAATTTATTATTTATTTTTTTCCAACTAAACTAAACATAATAATTTCGATTGAAATTTAGTAATGGTAAATGGAGATTGAATCTCTATTGATCAATTATTATTTCCAATGTAGTTCTATTATTTCTAATGTGTTTCTCCTATAGTGTATAAATGTATAAATCTCTATCATGATTAATTTTATGAATTGGCATAAGAATTATTCCGTTTTATCTATTTTATTATGATTATGATACTGAATTTTGTTTGAATACAAATAATATTGAATGAAATTCTCTGACATGGATACGACTTTTTTAATGAGTTTTAAGAGTGATTGTTTGTAATTAAAGCATTAATTATTTCGTAACCCAATGAGATTTCTCATCAGCAACTCAAAGACTAGAACTTTATTTTTTTTTCTCCAAAAAATATTAAATAACAACATCTTAAATTGATTTTAGCTGTTGAGAATTATAATTTTATTATACTGTTCAAATTATTCTCATATGAGATTTAAATTAATTTTCGAAAACACTTTTTTTTAACCCGCATGGATATCTTAAGATATATTACTTTTATATTGTAGCGTACCCAGGGAGGGGTCCCGGGGACCCAGGCTCCCTTACCTTTGTAAATAAATTAATTAAGGAAAACATTTGAATGTGACAAATGCACTTATACAGA